TAGTGAACTAAACATCAGTAATTGTTTATTAATAATTAATTATTGTTTACAAACAAAGAAATTTTTTTTTCAAATTGATTTTTTTCAAATTGTCACATCTTTTTTTTCTCTCAAACTTTTTTGTCTATTAGGGAATAGTATAACCTATTTTCAGTACGAGTAGCAATATGCTAGATTTCGTCGTTTTCGAGTTATGATTTTTTTTCTGAAAATGCACTTATATGATGCTAGCAGATTTTCGTGCCAGTTGAGGGCGCAAAAATTGTTGNTTTGGAAAATGGGCGTAGCCACGCCCACTTATGGTTACATGTGCATATTTTGGTAACCGCTGCACCAATTTTTTCCAAACTTGGCACAGTTGTTGGCCTTGGTACAGCATATCAAATGGCCGAAAATTTTAACAACGCCCACATCTCATTTAACTGTAATTTAGAGAAATACCAAATCTTCGATAAATCAGTAAATATTAAAGCTAATTTATTCAAAATTAGTGCTTGCTACATCTCTTTACCAAGAAATACGTTTATGATAAAATTTTGGAAAATGGGCGTGGCCCTGCCCACTTATTATAACATATACATATGTATCTCGGTAATCGTTTTACCAATTTGTACCAAACTCGGTATAGTTATTGAGCTTGCCACATAAAAGCAAAATCGGACTAAAATTACGGCCACTTTCCATATAACGGTAAATTTCAGAAATGCTTGAAACTTCATATTTCGAAATTTATGGACGCTAATTTACTCAAAATTGATACACCCCGGCTTACTATGTAGCGGTAGCTTACGGAAAGGTGAAAAGCATATATTTAATACTTGCGCCGGGTATTTAATGTTCGGCTCCGCCCGAACTTAGACTTTCTTACCTGTTTACAGGTGTATTTATTGCACTAGTTACAATTTGATATGCGTGGTCGCAGAGAAGCATTTAAAATATAGGTGGGCAATTTTTACTCGCGGCGACAGCAGCGTCGCAATTCTTAAAAACCTTTTATTGCATAAATATTTGCATTTGAAGCAATGTTAATGGTTTTAAATGCTGCTTTGCGACCTCGAACTTCAAATGGAATCGCCAACCGGGGAAAACTGAGAAATTACTTTTCTATATAAAAACTTGATTTCATCAATTCCCCATAAAAAAGAACAACTGAAAATGTCGTACAGTGTTATTAATTTCATGTAATGTCTTCATTTATACATACATAAGTACAAGCTGATAACCAAGTATCTAGCATTTTTGTGAAAACTAAAAGAACAATTATTAGAAAATAAAACAAAAACTTAGTGCTGGTGCTCATTACTGTTGCCATGATCAAAAATATTAAGTAAAGCATTCGTTTATTTTAGCCTAGTAAAAGAAAATAAGCACTTTTTTTGTAATTTGTTGACGGACTCCTTTGTAGATACGAGGTTAACGCAGAAATGGGAATTTCGTTCTAAAATATGGCCGGTTAGTTTCTGTTAGCAATGAGTTACCCAAAATAACAACAATTATTTATACATACGTTAAACTATTTTCACATAAATTTCGTATAAATCAAAGATTTATAAACGTATGAAATGAATAAATGACTGGAGGATGCAATTTTTGTAATTAAGTCGAAGAAATGCCAGCGGTTAGAACATCAGGCTCAGAAATGATAATCAAAATTGAACTGCCTGAAAAACAGCATTTCAACAACAAAACAATGAACTCATGAATGTAAGCAACAACAATCAAATTCGCAAAGAGGAGCAAAGATCTTGGCAGCTTGTAAACATGGCAGGCAGCAAATGCAGCTCGTAAATCTGCAGTCAGTTTTCGTTTTGTGTTGTTGTTGCTGTGCAGCATTCGGACAAATTTGCAATTGTACTCTTTCATATTTACATTCTCGTATTTACATGCAGTTACAAGGCCACGTAGTTGGGATTTGCATACAGAATCCGCCAGAAAATAAATACATCGACTAGTTTTCGGTGCTGTTTTTACTTTATTTTCATTCGAAATTTTGCAAGCGAATCCGAAATGTGCCAGATTTGTAGGTACATAGTAGTTGTGTATGAAAATGTTTATGTACATGTGTATACGTATATGTATACGTAATAAAACATGTGGCATTTTCCTGCATACCCTCCTCTTGCTCCCCCATGGTACGCCCCACCCACACCCAAACATATGTTGGTATAAGTATTTTGCCAACAGGTCTTTATTACAAATGAAATCGCCACTTGCCATACTCGCTTTCTTCTTTTTCAATTGTTTTTGAAATGGCAAATATAAACACTAGCCTGCGTTCACAAAAGAATGCACATATCATATTATGTATGCACAAAACGTACATACATTAAGCTGGGTCGATTTAAAACAATCGAGGGTGTAATTTAAATTTTAATTGAATGGGCCCCATTTGGATCGGGGTTCGACCTAAGAAATTATCTTTTCGCGGTAGATTAGAGAAAAAATTGCAGCAGATTAAAAAGTTTCACAGGAGATCCAATAAAATTATAATTTGTAAAAAATATTAACTGCCGCTTTCACGAGATCAATTTAAGTGAAAAATTAGTATTTTTTCTTTCAGTTTATATACTAAGTTAAAAAAAAAAGTAAGTGCGCCTGGGCCACACTGTAGGAGTGAAACTTACGTTACTTATCTATCTATACATACACACATCTGCTTTTGCTTAAGGTTATATTTTTTCGCTTTTTTTCTATCAATGTAGATCCCTACCTCTACCACTGTTCGTTTTAATAACATTCAAGTTATTCTGTTTTCCCATTATCTTCATTTTTATCATTATACTCTATCTATAACAAAATCGATTATAACGTCCATCAAAATACCGATACCAAAATCGATGACAAATTCGATAAAAATTTCAATAGCAACATCGATAATACCATTGGTAGCTAAATCGATTAAAAAATCGATAAATATCGATAACAAAATCCATAAATATCGATAACAAAATCGATAAATATCGATAACAAACTCGATAAATATCGATAACAGAATTGATAAATATCGATAACAAAATCGATAAATATTGTTAAAAATGTACATTCTAATTGAGGTTTCAATACCAATAAGTACAACCCTGTCATATTATCTTTTGGAATATATCTATACATATGTATGTATAGTGATAGAACGATACGAGTACCGAGTACAGAATATCGATACTTTTTACGAGTATTGAGTAGTATCGAGAACTCGATACTTTTTCACAAGTACTGAGTAAATATCGCGAATGCCGGAAAGTATCGACGAGTTAAGAATTTTCTAAGTAAATTTTTTTTAATTACCCAATAAATATTGTGGCGACCGTTCGAATATTAACTTCAATATCCAATTTGAATGTTATGAAAATTAACATAAAGCTCATTTACTTCAATACTGTCATAACTCAAAAAAACCTAAACCCCGAGAAAAACGCCTTCAAAGTTTTAACTTCACATATCGTCACCCTCATGCCAGAAGCATGAATGTGCAAATTTATCAGCTTTGAGTTATTAGGTTAACTTTGTTAACCAGAATTATCGTATTTCGCTACAAAAACCAAATTTTACAGGAAAGTATTTTTTGTATTTGTCTCTGCTTTGGCTAGCACCATCAATACCAAAGTTTAGATTTGCTGAGATAATTGAGAAATATAGCTAATCGCAAGATTTTTTGTAGAAAGGTCTCTACATTCTATTTTCTTAGCACATATCGATGGCTGAGTGGAAGATCGACCTATCTCGGCAGCCAGTTCGAAAACATTCTATCTCAAAAACTTTTCTAGAACGCCCTATTTCAGAATTCGTTTTAAAAACGCCCTATCTCAGCTGCCGATTCAAAAACGCCCTATCTCAGCATATTTTCAATACATTTTGAAGTGAGAAAGGGCATTTTTGAACCGAATTTTGAGATAGGGTGTTTTTCAATAAAATTCTGAAATAGGGCGTTCTTGAAAAGTTTTTTTTAGATAGAGCGTTTTCGAACTGGCAGCCGAGAGAGGTCGATCTTCCACTCAGCCATCGATATGATAATTTCGCCCACGAGAAAAAAATCATTGTCACATACGATAAAATTTACAGTCAATTTTCGGGGTAGCTATTGGGATTTAAGCCGTAATATTTGAACAGGTGTTGCGTTATGGTTGTAATGGTTGTAAAACAAAGTTGCATCAAAAAGTCAATTTCGTAAAAAATGTAACATACGATAATTTGGGCAAAGGGGTCGATACTATTTTATAATTCTAATTGTATAAGTGTAGAGTTAAGTCTCGTAAAAAAAACTTTCAAACTTGATTTCCCAAAATTTTCATTTCTAAACATTCATGTTTATGGTCCACGGGCGACGATATGTATGTATACTCCATACTCCATACTGTGAGACAAATGGTAGGGGTCAGTGATCGGGAAGGGTTCAAACTACCGGGGAAAGTTATATCGGTAAAAAAAAAGTTATACGTGTCCCGGCGTTTCGCTGGGTCACGTCAAGGAATCGAGATATATATATAACTATCATATAGGGGAAATTGTCACCTTTGGTGGTCTTTTTTTGACATAACTCGAGAACCACT